GGCCTGAGGCCGAGCAGCAGGTGACAGAATCCTCGTGCCTGCACTCCGGAGCAATGTCACTGTGGATGGAAAATGAAGTGTGGAGAAGTGGAGAACAAGTACAGGGGATGAGGAATCTCTGAAGTTAATTCAGAGTTACCACCAGTCTCTTAAAGCTGAAAATGACTCTCCCTCCTTTCTTCCTCTCTCTCTCTCTCTCTCTCTCTCTCTCTCTCTCTCTCTCTCTCTCACACACACCACACACACACACACGCATCTGCTATGCATGGACCTCACAAAAAGTGACTCAACCTTACATAAGAATCTGAGGGGGCCCAGAAGTGCAATGACTCATGGCTTTGAAATTTCCAGTGGGTTTTACGTGTCTTCTTAGATGGTTTTTAAAATTTTATCTGTAATGGTTGTCAAAAAGAAAATAATTGGTTTGGGAAGCAGGTGGGGGTGAGCATCCTGCCTCGGGGCAGGAAAGAGTCGTGTGATGGACAGGAGGGGGCTGGCAGGGACTAGGCGCTCTCAGCGTCAGGGAATCGGACGTCTCTTCTCGGGACCTCCGGGCATTTCAAGAAACTCGGTGTTATGATCGCGTCCAGACTCTGCCTCTGGTCTCCAGGAAATACTTTGATTTGGGGAGGGTGGACCAACTCCAGGGTCACCGCTGACTGAAAAGCTGCCGAATGCTGCTGGGCATCGGGCCCCAGCTCCGACGGCACTCTGCAATCCTGCGAGGAGCTCTTTGCACTCCTGATGCCCAGCTCACCCCAGCCCGACTAAGTCATGCCCCTGGAGAGCCGGCCCAGGCAGCAGGATGTGTAGGTTTTCCAGCGATTGTGAGGTGCCGCCCAGGAGGAGATGCTGCTGGTTGGAGGGTCTGGGGCCCTTTCACACCCAGCAGTTAATTGCCCCCTGGCTCTCAGAGGGTCCGTAGCCATTCCCTTGAGTTCCAGATACAGCCAGATGTGGTTGTCCAGGGCCCTTGGGAGTTTCTCCCTCCCGGAGCTAAAGAAAGGTGGTGGATTAGGCTGGCTCCCTCCCTCCCCATGTCCAGTTACAGACCGTCTTTATGTCTGATGGCAGGGGATTTCATCTTCCTGGGCCTCCATTTATTCATCTGTAAAATGGGATAATAAAAGCACTAGCCACATAGATCTGCTGTGAGGATTACATGAGATAATACCCATAAAAAGCACAATGCTTTGTACCTGGTAAGCTCTCCAGCAAACCGTTGCTGCGATCATGGTGTGTGATGATGTATTTGCAAACTCATTTGATACGACCTTGGCCTGTAAGTACATTGAAAACAAAGATATTGTTTACTTATATGCTGGGTGCCCAACACATGCCTGGCACCGAGGAGGGACTCAGTGAGTATTCGTTGAATGAATGAGTAAGGCGTGAGCTATCATACTGTTGTTACTGTTCTCATTCTCATTGTTGTTGTTCTCATTGTTGTTGTTGATATTATTATTTCAATAACACCAGGTCTGAGGGTACTGTCCCTGGCGCTCTGCATGGCCCTAGCTGGCTGTGAGCATCTCCTCTCTTCCCCTGATTTCTCTGCAGCCTCCTCGCTGGGGCCATTGCTGTCTGTCCTCACTAGGAAGCATGAACCAGGGACAGCTGCATCTCCCTGCAACTCCCTGCTCCTAAGTAGACAGCTTCACAAGGAACCTCACATGCGCTAGTCAGTCACGTGGATGAGGAGTCCCACTGGGGACTCAAAAGCCTGCCCAGAGCACCCACTGCCAGGCCGCTTTTCCATCCACGGGCTGGTGGTCCCTGAGTGGGAAGCTGAGGCTGAGAAGGACCAGCTTTGTGTTGCACTCAGCTGGGCCTCATGGGAAATGCAGAAGTGGGCGCCCAGACTAGCACACAACGACAGTTTTGACCCTTTCTTTTCCCACGTCAGATCTCACCTCCGCCCTTCCCTTTCCCTCCTCCTCTCTGGGCAGTTGTCCTGAGCAAGCAGACACCCTTCCTTGCTGCAGCTCAGCCAGTGCGTGTTGAGAACGCAGTGGCTCCTGGGCCTGTCCAAGCACCTCAGCTTGCTTACTCCCACCAATCTCTTCCCTGGGATCTGGCCTGACCTTGGGGGAAGGCTGGGTCTGGGTTAGGGGACAGGGAGGGAGGGAAGTCACAGTGGATGGTTGCTCGTGACCCCGCAGTGTCCTGTTTGGCACCAGGGAAAACCATCCCAGGCAGCACAGGGGAGAAAATGGCACAGAATTAGGACCGCCCACTTCACACACCCTTGTTCTAAAAAGAATTGGAAAGGTCTGTCCTCCAGCTGTCCCTGCGCTGCCTGACCTTGACAGTGCCCGGTTGCTGGTTAAGTGGGAAATCTCAGACACAGACCCACCCCCCACCCCTCCAGCTCAGAATGCAGTCTACAAAAAGTAGTAAGAAACAGTCTAGGAGAAGACTAGGATTTTTTCTATGTTGATTTTTCCACAAAAGATTCACAATACGTCCCAAATGTCCCTAACTTCTTTGCATCTGTAGTTGAGAAAATGCAACCTGTCACTCCAGACCTTACCGCAAACCCCTTGGACCTGACTGGTATTTTCTTCTTGTGCTGCTCCATACCCCAGGACTGCTGCTGGTTAGCCTCCTCAAAGCATGGGGTGACCTCGTTAATCCAGTGCTCCAGTTAACCCTCACATCTGTATCAGCAATTACCAAAAGGTTCTAAAGCAATGGCCAATGTGATCATTCTCCCTTTTATTTTTATTCGGAAAAGACATTAAGGCTCTTTGGGCAATGTTTTCTAAAGTCAATTTTATGAACCTCAAGTTTCATGAGATGTTATTGATATTATGTTAAAAAAAAAAGAGGGGGGCTCTTAGCAGCAGAAGCAAGATGACAAGACGCACACGTTGTGCTGCCTCTGCGGCTGGAAGGCCCACCACCTGCAGAAGTCCACCTGCGGCAAGGGCAGCTACCCCGCCAAGCGCAAGAGGAAGTATAGCTGGAGTGCCAAGGCTAAACGACAAAACACGACTGGAACCAGTTGCACGAGGCACTTGTGTACCGCTGATTCAGACATGGATTCCGTGAAGAAACCACACCTAAACCCAAGAGGACAGCTGTTGCCACATCCAGTTCATCTGAAGGATTTCAATGATGAGTCGTACAATAAATCTCAGTTTTAAAATAATAATAATAATAAAGGTCTAGCCAGTTTGGGAAATATGCATTATTTTTTAAATATATTTTTATTGTTGATAGTATTACAGATATCTCCCATTTCTGCCCCCCCCCTTACTCCCCTCTCCCAGCCCCTACCCACTACCCTATTGCCCGTGTACATGGGTGTATTAGGTTTTTAAAATGAATGAATATGTTTCTTTATGGCCTGATTCTGAGACTTTACTAAATGCACTAGAGGTGGGAAGAGTATTTTCTTGACCACTCAGCACTCTTTTCTGGAGGAGGTTTGGGCCTGGTGCTCCATGGCCCCGGCTTCGGGAAATCCTGTGTTTGTTGGGTTCAACATTAAACGCAAGTGTTCTCATTGCCCGTTACACAGGTTGTAGGATTCTAGATTGAAATGCCTGGAAGTAAGCAGCAGCTATTAGAATGCTTGATGGCAGAGCTCTTCCTGTCATAATTCCTTTAACACGGGCTCCACATTTGACAGGCCTGGCAGCTGTTCCCTCTCAGACAAGTCCCAAGGTCGACAGAGAGTTTTTCTGGTCTTCACGAGTCCCTCTCAGTGACGGTCCTGGAGGCCTGGGCCAGTGCCACCCACATCCATCTGCTCAAATCACCTCAGGGGAAGTCGCCGCTCTCTGCAAAGGGAGGTGGCTGAAAGCACTGGCTATGGCCCACTTCAGGGTGCCTAAGACCTGGGAAAAGATGAGGGGTTTGGGTCTAACCATTTGTTTAACAAATAGAAATGCCATAAATATCCAACAACAGGGGAGTGGTTGGGTGAACTGAGGCATGTTAGCTCTTGCCATGTCATGAGACTGTATAACACATGGAAAGGTTGTTACGATGTGACGTCAGGTGAAAAAAGGCCGTAGTGCGGAGGGGAAATTGTTAGCTTAGATCGGTGGCAGAGTCTCCCAGAGGATGCCTCTGTTGGGCCCCAACCAGAGGCCTTTGGGGGTGTGAAATGTGAAGCCCCCTGGGGAATGTCCTGAATGGACTGAAAGAGTAGAGGGAGGCTACTGAATTGCATGATACAAAAGAAATCATGGAAATTTGAGAGTTGGGCTGGCAGCTGGGGAAAGTGAGGAGCTGCCAAGTAGAACATTCGGGCATTCAGTTGACATCTGTGGGCAGGAGTGGAAGGGCCATCGAGACTCTTAGAGGATTGCGCCTTCTGTTTTAAGGCATCTGCTGTCGCAGAAGCAGCCAGGGCAGAGTATTCCAACGCTGAGGAAGACAGTGATCAGGAAAGGCTCCCACCCACCAGGTGGAAATCCTCAGAGCTCGGGGAGCACTGTTGGGTCTGCCACCCTACCTGGTGTATCAGGGGTCCAGCAGGAAGCAGATGGCATGCTCAAATGCATAATGCCGGAGAGTTGAATACAGGGACTATTTACAAAGGTGTGTGTGAGGTGTGTGTGTGTGTGTGTGTGTGTGTGTGTGTGTGTGTGTGTACCTCAGGGGCTGGAACAGCCCAGCACCATTAACTCCACTAGGCCTGGTGGGACCTGGGAAAGAACTGGCTGTGGGCTGGCTGCCTGGCAAGAGTTGTGACCTTCTATTGAGGGGCACAGCAAGCCCTCAATGACCCTGCAGAAAGGGAGTAAGGGAAATGATGTTATGGGCTAAATTGTGTTCCTCCGAAGTTCCTGCGGAAGCCCGAACCTCCAGGACCTCAGAATAGAACTGTATTTGGAGATGGGCCCTTTACAGAGGTGGTTACCTTAGGATTAGGTGGGCCCTAATCCAGTCTGGCAGGTACCCTTATCAGAAGAGGGAATTTGGACACAGACACGCCAGCAGCATGTACACAGAGAAGAGAGACCGAATGAGAACACAGTGAAAGGGTGGCCATCTGCAAGCCACGGAGAGAAACCTCAGAAGAAACCAGACCTGCTGACACCTTGACTTTGGACTTCTAGACTCCAGAACTGTGAGAAATAAACTTCTGCTGTATATGCCACCCAGTCTGTGGCACTCTGTTATGGCAGCTCTAGCAAAAGGAATATAGATGAATACCCCACCCTTTACCATCCTTCCCTTTTCAGCCTCTGGATGGTGCCCCGCATTGGCTCTCGTGGTGCCTCGGCCCCCTTTCTTGGGTACGGCAGGGGGATTCCCCACCCTCTGGATCCCTCTACGCGGGGGGGCTCCCCCCAGGGGCACACTTTCAAAAGGGGCAAAGGCTTGGGGGAACTTGCCAAGTGCCCTCAGCCCTCAGTTCTGCCCCAGAGTACTTGAGAGCTGTTACTTTCTACTATGGCCAGTGTAGTCGCCTTAGTCTGTGAGCACCAGGCTGTCCTCCCTACTGGATGAGACAGTCCAGGCCCCTCACTGCCCACTCAGCTCTTCTCTCTCTGCGTGTTAGAGCCCTTGCACCAGTGCCCCAGGACTGCCTGGCAGCCCGCCTTCCTGCCTACCCCTCCCTGCCCATCCCTCCCTGGCCCAGCCCCAGTCCCACAAGCCTTGGTTCTCTAGATTGGGGGGTGGGGGATGACTTGCCCTCATTGGTTCTCCTCATGGGGACCTCAGGCTGGCCACCTGGGGGGGGGGGCGGGATTCTGAAAACATACCTTTCTTCCTTACACAGAGCTGATACATGCTCAGCTGCTCCCGAGCCTCCTTAACTTACAGGGATTGATCCAATGGAACCAGTGACAGAGGACCGCTTGCCTCCTGAGGCTGATGCGAGGGCTGTGTGAGAATCAGGGCTGGGGCTCCGAACATGAGACATACAGCCTGTCTTACAAACAGAAATGACGAGAGGACAAGGCCTCCGGGAGAGAACCCACTGGACACCTCTCGGGGCAACTGGACTTTATGATAACAGCTCCCCTCTACTCGGCCTCCCACGTGCCTGGTGAGGGCTCTCAGGTACCACCTCCAGGACACTCCTGACCCTTCCACAAGAGGAGTGCTGTGAGTCTCCCTGGTGTGGATGAGGAAAGCGGGCGTGGAGGGGCCACATGATGAGCACACTACGCACAAATAGCAATGGCGCAGCCAGTGTGTGACCTGAGGCAGGTTCAGTCGCTGAGCTGCTGTTCTGAGTGTTCTCCTGGCTGAAGGTAGTGGGTAAGACCCTCCCTGCCTCCCAGAGAACACGCTCTGTTTCCAGAGCAAGAAGCCCTGGAGAAATCCAGCGGAGCTCCCTGCCTGCTCCTGGCAGAGTCCTCAGGCTGGTGAGGCTGTCCCTGGAGTGACCAGATGGCTCTGACCACATCGGGGCTCCACTGTGCCCGGAGCTCCTGCAGCCCTGCCCTCCGTAGGAGGGGTAACTGTGGGTCACGGTAGGGACAAGCCATTTCCGGTCTCCCTGCGCCTCCCTGGGGGTTATTTGAACTTGAGCACTTGACCCCCAGGATATTAAGCAGAGGCCTACTTGGTTAAAACACATTAGTCAAATGTGGGATGCCGCAAGCTGGGAGTCCTCTGGGCAGAAATGGACTCCTCCCTGCCCACTGCCCCCAGCGTCTCAGAAATGGACAAGGGACAAGCATCTCCCTGCCCACTGCCCCCAGCGTGGAGTGGTTGGGGAGGGGAGATGTAGGCCTTTGCCCCAGCTGCTGGCTTGGGAGTGGTTGGGGAGGGGAGATGTAGGCCTTTAATCTTAATCTTCTTCTTCTTCTTCTCCTTCTTCTTCTTCTTCTTCTTCTTCTTCTTCTTCTTCTTCTTCTTCTTCTTCTTCTTCTTTTTCTAATCTTCCTCTTCTTGACACCAGGAAGAACAGATAGTCCTGCATTAATCAGTTCCTCCCTCAGGCAAAGAGCTGAGCTGGGAGGACCAGATGGGGCAGTTCCTCATTTCTTTCTTCTTAGAAAGCCAGAGATCTCCAAGGCTCCCATTCAGTCTTCAGTCCTCGTGTCTCTATGTTCAGGAAGTACGGGCATTCCAAGGCAAAACTAGACAACAGAAGCTTAATAACACACCAATATTATCCAACACAAACTTACATGCAAACTATCTCATCATTCCAATTGATATCACGTACTGAAGCAAGGCTCCCACAAAACAAGCAATCACAAGGTAGGCTGGCTCCAGCAATGGTTCATTTAGCAGCTTGATGACATCACCAAACACCCAGGTTCTTTCTACCTCTCTGCTCTGTTCTCCTCAGTGCTACTGTCAGCCTTGGGCTGGTGGCTAGATGCTTGCAGTGGTTCCAGGCACCATCTCCAGAGGTTGAAGAGTTCATCTCCTCCTGTGAGAATGACATAAGAAACCTTCCCCTGAAGCACCCCGAATAAACTTCCCCTTATATCCCATTGGCCAGAATTGGGTGACATGTCCATGCCTAAGGCAATCACAGGTAAGAGGAATAGGACCACCATGATTGGCTGAACTAATCATCACCCACCTTCTGGAGCTAAGAATGGGCCTAGCCCAAGCTGGCACAAGGCTGGCGAGGGGACAGTGGATGCCTGAATTAAATCAGGTTCTATTGGTGAGAAAGAACCGACACTCCAGCTGAGAAGGCCAGCTCAACAGTTGGCATATAGTGGGCACCACATACTATAGTCATTTCTCTTTTCATGGTTTGCCACGGGGCACACAGAACTAAGTGGCAGAGCCAGAACTCAAATCCGAAAGAGGAGGAGAAAACTGCTAAAGGTAAGCGGGGCTTTTCACAGTGCTCCCCAGGACAGCCCCTAGATGAAGGCGCCTCCTTCTCTGGGGAACTGGCTATTTCGTCATCCTGAAAGTGGGGGCCACAGCAATAGCGTTCTGGGGCAGGGGACCCCCCTCCTCCCCATGGTGACCACCTCTGCCAACATCCAGCCAGCTCAGCTACCACCTCACAGCTGCATTTTCCCACCTCTCTGTACAAAATAACTCCAGAAGTCTGACAGCTTTCCTCTGTCCGCATTTGATTTATGGCTGCAATTACAAGCTTTCCTTCACACTGTCCGTGTGCCAGCAGATATCTCTTGCAAGTCAGCAGCGCTGCCATCCAGCTCCTCGCTCCAATCCCGAGCATGAGTCTACAGAGGACCCTTCCCTCCATATCCTGAGACACTAGATGCTGCCCCCGGTGGAGCCTGATCCCCTGGTTTCTGGGGCTGGACTGCCTGAAATGTATCAGAGTTGGGCAAAAGGTTGGAAGATCTCTTTCAACAGAGACTCTGAAAGACGGGAGAAGCTACTCCCCCCCACGCTACACGCACCTGGGATGGCTCAGAGCACCAGCTGCTGTCAAGGGGATCGACCTTGAGGTCTTAACACTTCGGTGTCGGGTGAATTTCCCGCCAAAATATAAGATGGCGCGTTAAAATGCCTATATCTTTTGAAGTATGGGTTCGATTGAAATGAAATATTTGGTAATACGCAGTTACAATCGGCCCGAGTTTACACGTTTCCCGCACTCCACCGCAAATCTATATGAACCGAGTTAACCATCTTCTTCAGAGGGCTCCTCTCATCTCTAAGAACAGACACAACTCTGGGTTCTGTTCGATTGGCACCCCAGCCTCACCTCTGCCCTTTCTGGCTGCCCCTTCCTATAATGACCACTCCGCAGTCCAGGTCTCTGGTTCAAATCCTGGCTTTGCGTCTTGAACAAGTTACTACCTCTCTGTGCCCCAAGTTTCTCTGAAAATGGGATAACGATCGTACCTACCCCATAGAGCTATTCTTAGATTAACTTAGAATAGATTTTTTAAGTCCTTAGTATCTGGCATATAGGAAGTGTTCTCTAAATGTTGGTCGTTATTATTAAGTGCCATTTGTGTTTATTTTCTAATCTAGAGCAACTGTTCGTAACCACTCACTGGGCACCTAATGCCACCAGGCACAGCACAGGTTGTCCCCACGTGGTATCTCAGTGGGGCTCACAACCGGGCCTAGAAGACAGCGCCCTCGTCTTGCAGATGAGCAAACCCAGGCCCAGGAGGCAGGAACTTGCCCAGCTCTCGCAGCCAGGAAGTGAGAAAACAGAAATCGCAATCCAGACCTGGCTGAGTCATTTTTTCATTACACCAACCCGCCTTGCAACTCCTTTTATCTGAGTAAAAAAAATTGGGAGGCGTGTTGGGGGAATTGGAGAAATCTGAGATGTGGGAAAGGGACATCACCCAATTAGGACACCGTTTCAGAGGTCACCAAGCATCCTGGCCTCCTCTAAAAAGAAGAAGTTGAGGACTGCAGAACCCTTGTGACCTCCCATGTCTGTGGCTTTTGTTGTCTGCTACCTGATTTTCCATAGTGATCTTAGGAAACTTTGTAAAAAAAAAAAAAAAAAAGCCAAGCATGTATATCAGGCAGGGAGGTACAGGTGTGGCTCTTGGCCTGTAGAAGAAAACAGTTCTCACTGTCTCTTTCCACTGCCTCATGATAGTGGGTAGGCTCTTCGTGCCTTTTTAAGACCCAGTGCATTAGGGCAGGTCCCCTTGCAAACCACACCCGAGCAATTGGAGCCAGGGCTGAGCCCAGAGAGCAAAGGCTCAGGATCGAGCTCCTGTAGAGCAGATGTTTCCCTGGGGTGTCTTTCTCCCCGCTTGTGGCAGTAGCCCTACACAGTTTTCTTGCACCTTCTCCCCCCGACCCCACGCTTGCTCCATTCAGACAAGGTGAGTCTAAATCTGTTCCCGGGCAGGCCACCTAGGCCCACACATTGAGGCCCCCCCACTGCTTCTGTGCCGGCCTCTGCTCAGGCATGGCATTAGGGGGAAGAGGTCCTTTGGATCAGGCCTGGGAACTGACTCTGCGAGGAAAACGGTGGTCAAAGCTCCAGCCAGCAACACTGTCCTTTTGCTTTGTTTTACCTTTTCTGGGAGGGGCTGGGAGGTTGGGAAAGATTTGAGTGCCTCTCGGTCCTCTCACCTAATGTCCACCTGATGGCCATCTCAATCTCACTGTGACAGCTACTGGGGTTAGTGGCAGCTATACTGAAAGAAAAAAACACACAACATTTTTAAGAAAGAGAAAAGGAGGGAGACTT